ATTGTTTGGCATTGTTTTTCAACTATATACCTGAAAAAAGTTGATTAGATCTCGTCATGTGGATGTATCATAACACTATGGCAAATTTGTGGCAAGGCTCCCACAGAAGTGTGCACGTAAACTATTTAGCGTTTCTTTCTATGTTTTTAGCGAATGTGCCAATAGATTGAAGTAGGCACATTAAACCCCGCCACAACGGCCCACATGCCCCCACCCCCAGCTTGTGCCAAGTCTGCCTCCACACTTACCCTCAGTGTGGTTGCGACGCACACACACACACACACACACACACACACACAGAGGTTAGAGCAGACAGACGCGTGACTCATTAGGCATTCGTCCCCCGGGGACAGTGCTGGGGGAGAGCGGCACAGCTGCAGGAATGTCATGAGCTGCTACTGCTGTGTGCAAATGTGTGTGTGTGTGTGTGTGTGAGTGAGTGTACCTTAGCAGTAGGCCAGCGCACCTTTCAGGAAACACAGCATCAAGAAAGCGTCTCTATGCTTTTCCATATCATCCTTACTGTTTGAGCCAACAATAAAAATTGTGAGGATGCCTTCAGAACTCTTCAGAAGTAGACTGAAACGCATTATACGGCAGATTATACTCCGGATATATCTGGTCCCGCTTGCTTCAGGACATATCTGGTCCCGCTTGCTGATTTGTCACTACAGCAAATCAGCAAATCTGGTTTAAAATGTACGATATGGTAACGGCTATGACGGGAAACACCTGTTCACTATATCACTGCTCTTCACCGTAGAGACCAACTATTTAACATAGTGTACTCGAAAGGGACTGAGTGTTCTAGAGAGACTCTTAGACTTTGAGAATGTGAAATTGGATGCAAACCGGGTGAGATGTTCCACTCTTGGCTTCTTTCTTTAATAATAATATTAAAAACAATACAAATAATAGTAATTTGTGTTTCTAATGTGAAAACATAGCATCTACTGAATTTGGCAATAACATCTGAATTCAGACAGGAAGTCAATCAGTGACGTTAGATTCTCAAGTGGTCGCGCATCTTGTTGCCGTACGAATTTGCGGGTCAGAGTTCACTGAACTTTGTATATGAATGTAAGTCAGTGGAGCTCAAAGTCTAGAGACTGAGGCTGTACTGTAGTAAGTTCTTTCCTACACTTCCGTTCAAAAGTTTGGAATGAAGTTTCTTATGCTCACAAAGGCTGCATATATTTGATAATACATACAGTGAAAAGAAATATTGTAAAATATTATTACAAAAAGAATTATTTAAAACAACTTTTTTCTATTCTAATATATTTTAAAATGAAATTAATTAAGTCCTGTGATTGGCAAGCTGAATTATCAGCGTCATTACTCCGAGTCTTCAGTGTCACACGATCCTTCAGAAATCATTCTAACATGCCGATTTGCTGCTCAAGAAACATTTCTTATTATAATTAATGTTGAAATCAGTTGTGCTGCTTAATATTTTTTGTGGAAACTGTACTACATTTTTGTCAGAGCTCTGTGATGAATAAAAGGTTCAAAAGAACAGAATTGATTTGAAATAGGCATCTTTTGTAACATTATAAATTACTTTACTGTCACTTTTGATCAATTTAATGCATCCTCGCTGGATAAAAGTATTAACTTATTTTAAAAAAATCAGTAGTTTACATAATATCCTTCAACCAGAGGTCATAGAGTTTGTGTGTGTTAATACAATCTTTGCTTGTTACAACCCAGCATTACTTTGAGCAAAGTTTTTGTTTGGCTTGTTATGGCTTACAGCTTTACTGTGCTGTAATTCTGCTGTTTTCATACTCCCTTTTGTGACGTCTTTTCTACGAGGATACGGTGAGAACTTCGAAGCGTCTCAGCTCTAGAGTTTTATGGGGCTTTAGACAGATACATCATCCAAGCTGATTACTCTCTTCAAGTTTACATGTGGGGTTTTATATTTACGCGTGTGTGTCTTTTTTTGTACAAATGTATATATAGCTTGTGTCATTGAAGGGCAGACATCAAGTGTGGGAGGGCTTATTCATAGAAATGCTGCTTAGAGGAAATTCATATTCAATATTTTTTCCATGCCTGAGTGACAGAGTGTGTGTGAGGGTGTGAATGTGTGTGTATGTACATGTAGGCGGGAATTGAAGCCCAGGTTTTTTATGTTTTTGTTTTGAAGCACCCTCCCTGACTCCCTCTGTGCGGAAGTGTTACCGGAAATAGTGTGCAGCCGCCCCCGGTTCTGCGTCAGTTACGCTGAATAAAGCGAGGGGGCTGGACGGGGGCTTTCCGGGAGGACGTTGAGAAGGGTGGGGGTTGGAGAGGAGGAATGGGGGCAGGGAAGTGTGTTTGTGTGTGCGTGTCTCCGCTGAGGCCATGTGGGTAACAGCCGTCTCTCAACGCTAACTTATCAGATAAAGCATCACTAGTGCTGGCGCACTTCATACGTGGCTTCCAGTGGCTGTTAACAGCTCCAAAACGAACTTGCCGCATGAATAGAATGTCTCAAAAAAGCAGTGTGTGTTTGTGTGTTCGCGGTTCTATGTTGATATCATTTCACATGAGTTTATACAAGATTCATCTCAGTTTAAAACAACTTGGACATTTAAATAAATCACTTGATGTTGGGCTCAAACTAAATAGATCTAATTTTCTACGTTAAAATAGAAAATATATAGACAAAAATTAACTTCCTCTGCAAAGAGAGAGAGAGAGAGAGAAAAAGAAAAGACAGTCGCTCTGGAAAAAAGTGTGTTCATCTTGCCCATCCTCAGGGATGTTTTCATCTTTTTCAGCTTTTTTCCCCCCCTTCTTTTTAATGTATGCCACTTGAGAGAATCCAGAGGGGCTGCACCTGTTTGCCTCTTGGCTAGTCTCTCCACCTCCTGCCCCGGCCTGCCACTCACGCCTCGGCTCCTGTGGGATGCTCTGCATATGTGTATGTGCACGCGTGCAAGCTTTGGGTGTGGAGGAAGGATGGCTGCAGGGCTCGGCAAAGTTTGACAGAACCTGAGATGCAAGCATGCTCTCTCTCTCTCTCACTCACACACACACACACAGACGTACACCACCCATTCACACAAACAGACTTTTCAGTTGAAGTTTTTCAAAGCCGTATTCATTTTTATGGATCTGTGAACAACACTCCTATAGGGGAGATTGGGGTAAGCTGTGCCACTTTTTACTTTTTTTCTTTCTCTGAACTGAAATGAGAAGTGTTTATAAGATATAGCCAAATAAAGACACCCCATAGCCATAATTTTGGATATATATATATATATAATATATATATATATATTAACCATGACAACTCGCAGAATAGATTTGAACAGCATTTATTGATAAGAGCGGAATGTACATAGCCTCAGTCTTGGCAGACTAAATCTACTACGCTGCTGCATGAGTGAAGACTACTGCCGAAACATGCACATAAAAACAGTGAATAGAATGCAAACTGCTGCAAGGAAAGAAGGAAGAATCCCCCAGCAGATCTAGGCAGGTGGTGCTGGGGAAGGAGGAGGGATAGAAAAATTCCCAGGCCTTGCTGAGTTCAGCCAGTTAGGTATGACAATAAGGGTGTACTCACACTACGCACGGTTGCCCTGTACCGTTCCCTGACACGTTTAGTGATCATCACACTATATGCGTACCGCGCCCAAGCCCAACCGAACCGTGCTTTGCCCACCTCGTCGAAGCAGACCAGGCAGCAGTTAAACAAACCGCGCCTGGGCATGGTACGAAGCGATCACACTAGTCCAACGGACCAGACTTTGGGTTCAAACAACGTGTCCGGACATGGTTCAGATTGGTGTGAGTACACCCTTAAATGTTCTTTTACATAAGTTTTATGTCAGTTTTTAGCAATTTTTTCCACGTGTACCTCTTAGTCATAAGCAGCATGATGGGCGTTGAATAAATATATGATCTCATGGCAATTTTTTTTAAATTTTACTTGTATTTTCCATACTGTTTTTGCAACCCTCTTTCTTTTTCCTTCTTCTTCTTTTCTTTTCCCCTTCAAATCCACTCTCTTTCTCTGTTCACTCATGGATAGCGATAGAGGCACATAAATCTGCACTAACCCCTTCAGGTCACATTAAAGGTCGCCCAGCTTCACACACTAAACCCTGAGGGCCTCTCATCCTCTTCACCCTTCGCTGTCTTTAGATGTCTGATGCGGATACAGGGAAAAGGAGAAAAGGAATCACTATCACGTCCCATTCACTCACCCATCCTCCATTACTTGTCTCGTGGATCAGTGGTCTCTCCCTCTGCATGGATCTCTCTGACTAAGTTTTGCTGTTATTTAGGGAGTTCAGCATGTTGTGCATTTCCACATTTTATTCTGTCATTACTTCTTCATGATTTGTGACCTGCGTTTCATGATTCATGACATGTGAGACTGATCTGTGAAGGTCATATGACAGCAGGAGAAATTGGAGTGACTTTTTGCTGGAATTTAGTGTAAAAAAAAGCTTAGTGGTTAGATAAATGACTCAAGAACAAAAAGGTTGCACAAGGAGTGTTTGACCTGTCACCATTGTGTCATTTGCATTCTCAGCTAAATCAGGGGTTTTCAAACTTTTTGATGCCATCAATCCTGGATCCCTTAAATGTGATCCCCATTATTGATTTAGAATATTATGATTTAAGAGTAAACATTAATAATTTGGTCTTTTTTATTTATTTACTTTTGCTGATTCAAAACCCCTGTGCTAAATTCAAATTAGGGTAGTGTATCTGCTGAGGTAAATTGAATTCACATTGCTTAATGTCTATGTGTGCACCAAAAACTCTAGGCTTTTATGAATCAGTTTTACTGAAACTGATTCATAATGCAAATCCAAAAACATAATGAATACAACAGTAATACATTCAAAATGTGATTTATCAGCCTAAAGAGAATTGAAAGTGTGACGGATTGGGAACATTAGGCATTTCTCTGTATTGCAGTTCAAGCCAGTAAAATCAGAGAAGGCTGTTCCCAGAGTTTCAGTCTGTCTGTCCCCTCTGTGCTCCTGCAGAACCGTGGGCGACTGGCAGAGAAACGCACCATTCCCTTGCCGCCAACACGGGTGCCCAAAAAGGAGCTGGCCTCCGTTTTCAGCAGTGACGACAGCGAGGGCAGCGAGCGGGCCAGTGGAGATCATGCAGACATCAAACAGGAAGAGCTGCATTACACTATCATGAGAAAGAGGTGAGAATGTGTGTGTGTGTGTGCGTGTGTGTGTGTGTGTGTGTGTGAAAGAGTGTGCGTGGGCAAAAAGTAGAGTGCCAATCCCAGTGCCAGGGATTGATACATCATCCATGATCTGCCGGAAAGGGGTTAGCCATATCAGACATCAGTATAGCACCAAAGAGCTTTAAAGAACCCTTAGGTCTTTACCCCCATAGCCCCCTATTTTGACACACACATTAACACACAAATTCACTCATTTACTCTTTTGGCAGATACTACAGACACACAGGATGTGCCAACTCTAAATACTCATGCTTGGGAGCCCACAGGATGCACAGAAATAAACATGAGGTCTTCTCATGAACCAAATGAAAAGTGATATTGTTGATGATGAGGTATTTGCAATCATGTGGCAACTTTCTTAATGCCATAGATCGCCTAATCCTTAAATTTAAAGTTACATTTCTCACCTTTAATATTTTCAGTATGTGCCCTGACCACATGCATAATTATATTTTGGTTGCTAAAGAATGTCAATGGTCACCGATGGCTAAAGGGTTGTTCAGATCGAGGACAAAAACTGTAACTTTAAAGTTTTAACAGTCATTGTAATTCTATGAGAATAGTGCAGTCCACACCACAGTTATATAACAATAACAACAGAAGAACGATATCATTGGAATCACTTTCAGAATAACTTTTTTTATAGCTAATGAACCATAAACATATTGACAGCCAATCAAAATCCATTTGCCTTTTTTTACATAATTGCAATGCATACTCATTGGTTTGGAGCCTAGTTTTTGCTGTAGTAATCTTTATAGTTAGCGTTCCTGGTTTGAAATTATCATGCTGTGTACCACGGCATTTTATGTCAGGGTTTTTGCGCATGTGCTTTGGTGGGACCATGGTGGTACCTGAAAGTACCATTTAAATGTTGTAGTGATCATTGAGTACCATGGTACAGTGTTCGTACGGGTGCTTGAAATCCTTGAAAATGCTTGAATTTTGATGTTGTGTTTTCAAGGTTTGAAAAGTGCTTACATTTTTGATAAAATGCTTGAAATTCAAACTTTCTTTTACAACAAATACCTAACTGACTGAATTGTTTGTTTATTAAATTGAGAAATAAAATGTAGCCCTTCAGATAAAGAGTGACTCGCGCTACGCTGGCCAGAGCAAAAGTAGGCGGAGTTTTCATTTTGATTTCCGCACCTGTTTGGACGTTACGTGTGCTGTCTGAAAGGGCCATTAGTAAAGTAAAAAATTGTTTAACGTTTGCTGCTGCACTGTGTTACGATCAGGGCCTGAAATTAACACCCGACCACCTGCCAAATGCGGGTGAATTTTGCTATTGGCGGGTAACACTGTCAATCTACCTGCCACATTGGCAGGTAGCCAATGAGAATTGTGAGTGATTCATTACGATTTTTACATTTCAACAAAGTCCGCTATTGCGTTGGAGTTTAGCTAAAATGTGGCGGCACATTACTGGGGTAAAGAGGCCAGCTGCAACAAACAGCCAACGAAAAGATGAGGATGAGAAAAAGAAAAGTAAAGAAGACATTTTAATACAAAGTGAACAATCGGCGGCAATGGCAAGGTTCGTGAGCGGCTGATTTATGACAGCGACTGTTGTTTCGCAACGTTCATGCGATCAGAAAGAAGATGAGGCCCTTTTTCTGACTACGTTTGGATGTATTAAGTATTAAACTGTTGGTGAGATGGGATGAGATAATGTAACGCTGACGTAGGTTGCAGTACAATGACAGTTGCACAGATGTGTGTGCGTGTGCAACTGTGCATATTGGGAGTTGGGAACTGGTGAGAAAATGTCCGGTACCCGGTAATTTTACCAGTAATAACAGTATTCATTTAGTTCATATTTAACGGTTCCTGAACGCTGTAACTAAAAGCTGTTAAGAGTAAGACCTGTCTACGTGAATAAATCCGCCATCAACACAGCCGCGTGTGATTTGCTTACGAGCTGCGGTAGGTCTATCTGTTGTAGCCTATATTATAGCTAGCCTATACTATATATGTTGTGTTTGTGTGTCTGTCAAAATCAATTATTAAAAAGATTTTTTTTTAAATGTATGTTGTTAGAGTTATTATTACTTGACAGCACTTAAATGTGTAAGTTAAAGAACAATATTGTGAAATTCCCGTTTTTTTTTTTGTTTTTTTTTCACGTTTATGAGGCAAAAAAAAAAATGGCTGGTAAAAAGTCTCTGTGGCAGGTGAATTTTTAAATCCACCTGCCACAGTGGCCGGTGGCCGAAAAAGTTAACTTAAGGCCCTGGTTACGATGACCCACGCATAAAATAAATTAAAAAAAACGGGGCATCCAAACAGGTGCAGAAATCAAAATGAAAACTCTGCCTACTTTTGCTCTGGCCAGCGTAGCGCAAATCGCTCTGTATCTGAAGGGCTACATCGGCAATGTTGCACTTTGGTCGACGCAGGCAAAACGTCCATTATTACATGTCCGTTATGTCGTGTTCATTTGTTGAATATGCAGTGAACATAGCCAAAGTTTAGAGATGGCAAAATTACTCACTAGAAGTACTCAAGTAGAAGTACAGATACTTGTGTTAAAAAATACTCTGGTAAAAGTACTCAAAGTTCAGTCTTTAAATTTATAAGTATAAAAGAAAAAGTAGCCTTGGGAATGACAAGCATTTTTTTGTAATATTTACACTACTCTATTCCAGTAGATACATGTATATGCCTTGAAATTACTTCAGATTTATAACCAATATTTGGACATTAATATAATGAAAAGTATTATTCATAGGCATTATCTAGTTTAGACAGTGATACGTTTTGAAAAATAAAACTTGTGATTTGCCTAAATATCGGATCCTTCTGCTATTACAAAACACATTTTTGGCGGTGGTGTATGGTGCTGGAAAAGCTTTAAAATGGACTTTGAAAGTGCTTGAAAAGTGCTTGAATTTGACCTTGGAAAAGGTGTAGGAACCCTTATGGTAAATCAGAGTACCTGAACTTTTGTGACGCCATGCCATTAATGCTATAACAATCTGGCTAGAGCAGACTAGTGAGTGACTTACTCCAAGCACAAATAATGGGTCAAATGATCTATTTTTTAATTACACAAAGCATATTTATTGATAGTTTTTAGTGTTCAGTTTTTTTTTATTGAGGCCATTGCAATACATTCTGGGATTGCGGTCTTTGTGAAGTATTAATGCAATGGTGCTTTAAAATTTGGCCTAAATGAGGCAGCATAATTAAATCTCCCAGTTTTTGGAACAGTCAAAATATCTGCTTTCCACAAAAAATAAAATTAATCCAGTGATGTGCTACAAATTCCACGTCTCCGCCTTCAATCAGTGCGAGGGAATTCAGTGTTCATTAAATCTTCATGAGCTGTGTTTGGCCTCCCTCCTCCTTGGCACACAAGCCTGAAGAAGCTTATGAGCCTGCGGTCAGTGCAGCAGTGAGCTAAGAGCAGTGGCCAAAGCGAACGGTTTTTCCGCCAGTGGTTTCGCTCTGCCTAAATGCATTACAGGTGATAACTAGCCAGCAGATGTCAGTCCTGGCAGGTGAGTCTGGGGAACCACATTTTTTGTCAGACCATCTCCGCTTGTACTAAAGAACTTGTTGAAAAGCCCGGCCTTGAGGTTCTGATCTATTATTAAGTTTCCTTTAATCACTAGAGCATGCCTTTCAAAGCTAGCTGTTGCTTTGAGACTGCAGGCTTTCTGGCTTTCGGGGGTCTTTAGGTGATTTTTCACTCATGTTTTTTGAATAGAAGTGTCAGCAGTAGTTTCGATGGTGTTTGCAGTGAGAGTTTGTGTTGGCGGTGTATGTTGCGCTATGCTGGATTGTTAAATCTCCAGGAAGCTTCAGTGCTTCTAATGAGAGGAGTAAGAGAAGACAATATTCCCTTTTTCTCATTAGCCACTTGGCTCTTGCTAAAAATGTCTTGGTTAGCCCTAGCTCCTGTCAGGTTTTCTTAGAGCAACCGCCAATGCGTATAGCGATAATTTGACTTATTTAGTTGGCGTCATAGTTGTATAGTTGTAATGGCTGTACAGTTATATACTTTTTATCATAGTCATAGCTTAATCAGTCCTTTTTGTTGAGCCCTACAAGCTAACACAGAATGCTAGCTAGCTGTCATATTCATTAAAAACATCATTGGCCAAAACTGAGTGATGTGAGGGTGCTTATACTGTGCTGTGCATTTTAAACGGAACTTGAATTTGATTTTGTTGTGGAATAAAAGTAGGGCTTTGAGTTCTTACCTTGGAGCGGATCAGCCCTGAATGCCCAGGTACAAATATAAGCCCTCATCTGCAAGAGTTTCTTGGTCACTTCCTTCACTCAACCCCGAGCCGCTGGCTCCTAGCAGCCACTTACCCTGTGACATCGAGGACGGCACATGAACCAGAACCGGCCAGCTAAACTCATTACAGTGATCTTCCCCCAACACTTCAGATGCCCGCGTGTGAAGATGCTAATGAATTTAAAGAACACTTATGACTAATATCTAGGGCTTTTACCCTGTTAAAGGCGGCGGACTGCAAGGAGCCACGTCTCTCCTCTGTTCCGGGGCCGCTCACCTCACCCCTACTTTACTCAGATGAGGATCTGACCGAAAGAGATAATGGGATGTTCAATCTATGAAATTCAATTTCCATTGATCTGGACTGGGTAAGTGAGTTGTGGAGGGGTCTTAACAAATTGGATTTAGTCAATGGATGGTGAAGGATGGGGAATTCTTTTTTGCGTTTGATCGTATTTACGCCTCATCATTTGCAGTTTATATTAGTGTTGTGGTAGTGTGCATAGCGTTTCTTCAGTCCAAATGTATCTGCTTATATATAGTGGAGTCCCAAGCACAAGACATTTTTCTAATTGAATGCAATTTTTTTCATGGCAAACTATATTATAATCTTTGAATGAAAAGTAGCATTTCATTTCAGAATGCCTTTGTATTTGTTTTTCACTTTTCCTTTAATGACTGCAGCTGCTTGCACTCCACAATT